CGTGTTGAGAGCCTTCCTGGCAATTTTCTCATAGTTGGCGGGCCACAAGGATAACGTCCGTAGTTACACTGTGTTTTCTTATTCCTGTTGCGTTTCAGGGGGAGGTCCCTGCTCCAGATGCACATTCAAGCAATTGAGTAGGAAAAGGGGGGAGGAGGTTCCTGTGATATTCAGAAGTAGATGCCTTCACAGCTATTGCGGAGCTGACACATATGGTGGTGTCATCCTCGAAGTCTTGATGGATGTGTCCTTGCCACCACAGCTACTGGTGCAGCGAGGCAAGCTTTCCCATGAGTTGTGGGCCACCGTACTTCTAGACTTCGGCCGGAACTGAGTCTTCTTCCGGTGCTTATAAATTAGACGATTGTTGACCTGCTGCTGTCCGATCCGATTTTCTCAAGTAACGAAGGCGAACCATTGTAACCGTTATTAGTTTCCGTTTGAATAAATTGGTCTATGGTTTCTTCGTACATTGTCGGGGGGTGGTTAAGGGCGTCCTGCAAGTGCATGGTCCACCGCTCTAGAATGTGTAACTTTTCCGTCCAGAGGGTTGATTTCTTCGGGCACACCAGTGGCGCAGTCCCCTTGGCTTGTGAATCACAGAATGTTTTGATGGCAGCAAAAATTGTTCCTCTCTCGACGGTCGGCGTATTCCTTGATATCCTCAGCTTTACGAACCAGTCAGTCCTGCATCTATATAGCCTCTGTTTTACTACCAGTGACTTCATTGGCATTTCTGCTGCTGATGCTGTTGGTTGTGTGTAGCCTTGATGGATGGTTACCAGCTCTGCCTAGCGGTCACACCCCCGGTGAGGGTATCGACCACCGGATTAAACCAGATTAGGCTATGCGGTATTGTATGTGTCTCAACATTTGTGCCCTCCGGGCGGGCCACGTGGTAGATGTGCTGGATCAACGCGGAAGCTATATCAGATCCTAGCTGGCGTTATCGGATTGCACACCATAACAAATGCCAACATCTGGGAGTGCGATTGCAAACCCAATTGCCGGCAGACCCCTCCCCCCCCCCTTGTTGTTGCTAGTCAAAAACCTGATCACTTGCTGTGTGGACCAGGGAGCGTGGAGTGGAACGCCAAGGTGCGGGCTCGGCCACCTGCGCCCTCCCCCGCTTCCGGTCTTGTAGACTATGTCTTGAAACGGGGGGCAGGTGGGGAGGAGGAGAGAGTGCGGTAGATGCTGTGCAAGTCCACACCCACTATAAACTAAATCACGCGCAGGTTACCGTGCCTGACTCGCTTTGCTGTAAAGCACACGGTGGACCTCGTCGGAAACGACGGTCCAACCTTTTGTCTCCACACTTGCCAATCAATCAATAGAGCAGTGTATTTGGAGTAAATAAGCCCTGGAAAACTCTATTTAATTGACACAGGTCTGTGCGAAAAGCGATTAAGTTGCAAATATTTACAGGTTACTTTAATATACGAAACGCATGAGACTGATGGTGGAGCAAACGTGTCAAAGAGGTGGAGAATTTGTGAAAGAACGGCTAACAGTACTTTCACTACATTTGCATGTAATATGCCCACCGGCGTTAAAGTTAGTGTTAATAAAATGGGTTATTTAAATTCAGGCAGTAGTATGTTGATAGTCATAACTGCCCAATTAGATGGGGTTTGAGGAGTTCTGGCAGACCCTTAACAGGTACATATCCAGAAGTCTCTTAAATACGTTCGCGGTGGGGAACGCATGACATACGTCGGTAATAAATTACCCTGACGAATGACTCTGCGAGAAAAAGGAGAGTTGGTTGGTTCGGCACAGTCCGTCATGCCGTCCGTGATTCGTCTTCGTTACATTTTCCAAAATATTTCCCCAGGACACACCACGATCAGATCCTCTTAGCAACTGAAACATTGTGATAAGATCATCTCTTCCCTGTCTATGATGGAGGGGATGGCAGGTCAAGGTAGGCATTCGCCGCTCGTATTCCAAATTTTTGAGTAGCATGTCATTTTACACGTTCGAAATTGCCTTTGTCTTTCCGAAGTCGCGGCCGCCAAGTCTGTGCCCCATATTGAAGGCGCGGCAGCACTAATGCTCCATACACCTTACAGAGGATATCCGCATCCTGGTTTGCAAACGTCCCGCGTATCCCACTCATAGCTGACATTGCCCGCAACGCGACTCGGGGACACCGCGTTGTTACGCTCGAATCGTCTTTAGGGAATACTCCGATATTCTTTGCATATGTACGATTTAAAGTGGTTAATTTTCCAAGAGATACTGGGGTTAAGGTACATCTCGTTTTCGTCTTGCTGAAATTATGTGCATGCCACATAGTTATCAATATTACATTATACGCACCAGATCTCCCACCATGCCTGAAGTTTTTCCACATATGTTCCGTTGCGATATCTAGAAGACTATCTCATTTTTGTCCCCCTACAGAGCCTACAATCATCTGCAAAGAACGCTATGTCAGACTTCATTTCATAAACTGGACCATTTACGTAGATGATAAGTAGAAACGCCCGAAGAACTGATCATTGTAGGACTTCGCATTTAACGGGCGCCCATTCTGAATAGTAGCCACCTGGTAACATTTCCTCTCATTCCAATCCGCGCCCTCACCTCCACTTTAACTACAATCGCACCACAGAGTACCGTGCAATCCCGAAGGCGGACTAGGCTAATTAGGGCCTCTCTCACACTAAACAACGCCTTGACGCACAGTGAAGGTCGGCTGCCGTCTGATATGTCTGAGCAACCCTATTTAGGGGCAACACTGCTTAAACCCTCGCGAGGGAAGGAACTAGAAAAGGTGCGCCAAGCAAATGCTGGGATCACGTCATCTGCAGGAAGGCCGTGGCTTGCAGATAAACAGCTCACCGTCGAAACAACTAAATGACGAGCCCTCGTTCTCATTCCCCGGCCCCAATCCACAGGCAGCCCAAGTCACTCTGTTCCCCCTGGCAGCCTTAATGGTTCATTCTCTTTTATATAATTGGCAGAGCAGCTAATCGGAAGAAAGGACGCCGCCAGTCGACTGAGAATTGGAGCGCCACAATATGGACATCTCTACGCTCAGAAAGACCCGCTTTTGTGAACAAGGCCAGCTGGAGGACATGGCTGCCGACCGTTCTTTCTCTCGAGAAGGCCACTAGAGGCAGAGCGACACGTTGGCGTCGGTTCTACCTGGAACGACATCGTAGGACGACTGCCTCGACTCCCGACGAGCGTTTCATGAACCCACGCCCGTCCTACTGAGGCGTCAAATTCTCTACCGCCGTCAGTGCCTACCCACCGCCCAGTGGCCAGATCCGACGAGAGGACGAACAGGTTCTACGAAAATCTGCACGCCATTCTAGCAAAGATGCCGAAGACGGACAGGCTTGTTGTCCTTGGTGGCCTCTATGCCTGCGTCGGGACAGACAGTGTTCCCTGGGAGGGGATTCTGTGTCTCCATGGACTTGGCGACCCTAACGACAATGGCCTCCACCTCCTGCGAGTCTGCGCAGAGCACCGCTTCCTCCTGACAAGCACCTTCCGCCTTCCCATGCGGGAGGAGGCGACGTTGATGCCCCCCTAATCGCAGCACTGACAGCTGCTGGACTGCGTTTTCGTCCGGACGTGAAGTCGCCAGGACATGCTGGTGACCAGGGCAATCTGCAAAACTAACGGCTATATGGATCACAAATCCGTCATCTCTAAAATGAGGCTCCGATTTTGACCTCGCAAGAGACCACAAGTTAAGCGGGCACGAGGCAGGCTAAACTCTATAAGCACGGCAGCCCTCAGCTGATGGATAAACAAACAATGACATTCTGGAAATGTGGCACGAATAACAAGTTTCCTGAGATTCCGAGGACTTGACTATCGTCCACCTCTGCAGACAGAAAGGAGATTGGTAAATCTGCAATAATCAAAGACAAATCTCGCTGCTTAACATTGTCGGAAAGATCCTCGCTCGCACCATTCTCAATCGTTTCAAAAGCAATTTGAAACACGTACGTCTCCCGGAAAGCTAGTGTCATCTCTGAAAACACTGCGCAACAACCAACATGGACTTCTTAGCCTGGCAGCTGCAAGAAAAGCGTCGGGAGAGCGAGCATACCTCTAAACTAAATTTTAGAACCAGAGGAGAACTTTTGACATTGCGAATCGGGATTTACTCTGAAAAATCATGCAGAAATTCGACTGTCCCCAGCGATCCACGCACGTGGGGCATCAGCTTCACGACGGGATTATGGCGTTGGCAACGGCCAACGAGTCAGTATCGGAAGCATCCAGCAGAGTAGAGTAGGGCTGCTTACGCCCCCCTACGGTTTTCAGCTCCATGCTCTCTAGCATACTGGTGGACGCCTACCGTGATGAGTCTCCTGGAATGGGCATCGTCTACAGGACCGGAGATCAGATTCTCAACGCCCGACGCGTCTCTCCACGACTACTGTCCACGACCTGAGCGCTCAACAACACTAAATAAGCGGATATACAGCGAGGCCTATCTCTGCGCCGCCGACTGCTCACATGTCGGACTGGCCACCAACATAGACAAGACAGTGGTCATGCACTAGCCGTCGCCCAAAACTAAATACAACGAGCCTCGCATCACTTTTAACTGCGCCTAAGTTAAAACCGAGGAAACATTCGCCTACTTAGACAAGACGCTCACGGAGCATCAAAATTGACGATGAAGCTGGGCATTGGACCTCCAAAGTCAGCCAGGCTTCTGTCTGAGGTCTTGACAAACTCCATCACAACACAAACCTCAATATGAACAAATCTGTCATCTTGACAACGCTACTCTACGAAGCAGAAACCTAGACATCCTGAGAAGCAGACGAGCAAATTCAATCACTCCCATCTTAGCTACGTCTGGAGAATACTGGAGTTGAGGTAGCAAGATAGACCGCCCGTCAGAGAAGTCCTAGAGCAAGCCGGAATCCTCAAAATTCGCGCCATGCTGGGGTGACTGCAACTGCACTGGGGCGCTCACTTCTCGGGGATGGATAACGAGCGCCTACCCAAGCGGCTAATCTATGGCGACGTCGCTGCAGTTGCTTACCAATACGACAGACAAGAACGACGCTAAAAGGACACCCAGAAAACCTCCGCCAAGTAACTATGCATCAGTCATGAGACCTTGGAGGACTAGGACCAGGAACAACGGAACTGGAGAACAGCAATGGAGACTGCAGCAGCAGTCTACGAGGTCAAAGCCAAAAGATCGGTTCTCAAGTTCAAGGAGCCTTTGGACAACGTCGACACCAAACTCCTTCCAACTTGCCCACTCTGTCGAAGGACATTCTGCACGCGAATCGGCCTCATCGGATATATCCGGACTCTTTACACCAAACCAACAATTTCACCTGCTGCCTCCGCAAACGCCTCCATCACCATCCCTGCAACACCTCTATGGCGGCGACCACCAGCACCTCCATCATCCCTGTCACAACCCCTCGATGACGACGACCACCACCCTTCCCACTCCCGGCGAGGAGAATGCACCGATGCCTGGGTGAGGAAAGATAGAATGAGGTGGACTCTGGGGACTGTGTCCCTGAGGCGTTCAGCACATATTCCTCAGCAATAAGCACCCTGACACGCTCTTAAGCTATCATGGCACGCTAGAAGCAGTGGCCTAGAAGACTGCCAACTGACGGGATAACTCGATCGTCCTCTCAGGACGGAGAGTCAAGCTGCAATGATAGCACTCATATTCAGGCAGGGTCCGAGGCGCCCCTTTGTGTGAGGGCTTGGTTCATCGTGCGTGGGTCAGGCGTAGGTGGCACGCTCATAGGGCTGTTTAGCTCTGTCAGCCACTGCGCCCGATCTGACCTCTTGTCTTCTTGACCGTCTCGACACCGACGTCAGATGGGTGAGAGAAGATAGCGCGGCAGATATAACGCATGTCTGCTGCCAATACAAACTAATTCACACGCAATTTCTTATCCCTGCTGCGTGCAAACCAGCCGCGTCAGTTCAAAGTGATTGTGTCTGCACAATCATCACCGAGACGGATCGGAATTCAATTGTCTTCATTACCCGACTTGGTACCATTTTGACTGCGCGAATTCAGGCAAGTCAAGTATTGTTACCTGCAAGGGGAAGTAAACTTTTACCCTTGTAAATCATTATCACCACTGCTTTTAGATTTGGCTGCTTACTCATGATGTACTTGATACAATGTACGACAGAAAATGGTCCGATCTGGGCTATTTGTGCCATGCGTGGGTGATAGAATGGACATTGCTACATAAAAGGCATTTCTGCTTCTAGCTCGACGTTAGCGTCCTACAGCTGTCCATTGGCAAGTCGAGTGTTTCCCGTGGTTTCTTTAAAAAGAGGCCAATAGCTGTTTTCTGCATCGAGGACTAATATTATGCCAATCGAGTGATGCTGTGATAGTGAAAAACTCCATGGCCTGCGCAGTATAAGTGCTTAACACATGATTCTGAAGTCCTACAAACAGGTACTATTTCGCTAATAACTAGACAAGAAGTACAAGCAAAGGTACACGTCAGAAAGGACTTGCGTAAGACCAGAAGTCGGAACTGCCTGAAGTTATCATTGTGGCTGACAAGCCGCTTCGTCTGTCGGCCGGGTAAGAGGTCGCGAGCGCAGGTACTTCCCCTAACTTCGTTCTATAACCTTTCGAGCAGTCATTTCCCTCAAAAGTAAATAACCACAGTCTGCTGAGGACCAGAAACGCCGCTCTCCAAACACTTAGTTGGCTTTCTCACGACCAGCAAGTCTCGATTCCAATTTAACTAAAACTGTAACATACGTCATCGTTCGAAATGTTATAGATAAATGCAGTTAAATTCATATGACCATAACATGAGAAAGACCTCCGAGCATTAATGGTCTGTAGAAACACGTAGAAAGAGCGGCCGGCTAGCGGAATGACAACGAGAACTCTATGAGATCTAAGTTCGCACCCGATCCACATCGAAAGCGAGCAGCGACCGGCCGTCGCGTGCCGCACTTGATAGCCGTCAAAGCCGCACAAATACCGACTCCGAACCAGAGGACCGCTTTGAGAACAGGCCTCAACCCCGATACTTCGTACGCAACTGCTGAAAAATCAGGCCGAATCAGGGCGCCGACCTGAAATGTGTCTATCTGAAAAGATATCTCGTTCTTCATCCCATCCTCAGGGGTCTAGAAATTCTAAGATGCCAGCATCCCGTAAACCATGCCAGTTTGCACTGCATGGAACAGTTTTTGATAGAATTTGTTGAAAACGCGGGGAACTTCCAAAAAAACCTTTTCTCTAGTGGAAATACTACCAAAAGACTGAAAGGATAGCTGGCTACCGCTTAAAGTGCTGACTGATCTATAGAGTTGGCTTTCCGCGGTCCTACAAAGGAAGAGATGGTGGACTAAGCTGTACTTGCATGAAATCCCTAGATGTGGTAACGGTACCATTCATTAACGTCTTATGAATGCGTTGTGGGGTATCCCAGCTATGGGTTAATCGTATGACATGTTCTCGGTGGAATGGGCAGCGGCTTGTTCTGAAAAAAAACGTCCTAACCGCTATGAAGGAAGGACAGTTTGGTCAGAAATTAGATTAAGCAAAAGTACACTTCGGAATCTGTTTTTCCCACAGAGGAGGTTGAAAAATGAATAGGGGTAAAAGTGTATGATGGTAAGTCATGATTTCAAATCAGGCATATACATAAATCTTGGGTTCAAGAGCAGAGGCATAAAAGGGAAAAGTGGGTCATCCAGTCGTCCAGCGCAGAGCTGGGCCCTCTTTAATGCTACTCGGCATGCCCTGTTCCGCCTCCATTTTCCGCGCCTTCTCTTGTCGATGCTGCACAGACTGCGGGTTAGCCAGGCCATAGCTGGCCTGTTGATCCAGACGCTTTTGCGCGGCCTCCGCCTGCAGGCGACGACGCTCTTCTAAGCTCGGCTCTCGTGCACCACCGCCGGAGACGTAAAACCCTTCGTAGTCAGTCTGGTGTGAGCGCGAAAAGCAGCAACCCATGCGACGACAGATCCCTAGAAGCAAAACCTATCATCAGAGGAGATGCACGAGTATAGTCTCCTGGCATTAACTTTGGAACCAAAAGTTGGATGTGGTCGTTGACAGGAACCACATAAAGCATCTTAGCACCTGAATTCGACGGTTGGCCGGGATGGGGTAACTAAATTCTGTCATGACTACGGTGGCCACACGTCTACAACTTAATGACAGTAAAAACAGACAAGATTTCAAGGGGTTCGGAAATGGATGCCGGGTGGTGGTGGTGGTGGTGGTGGTGGTGGTGGTGGTGGTGGTGGTGGTGGTGGTGGTGGTGGTGGTGGTGGTGGTGGTGGTGGTGGTGGTGGTGGTGGCGGTCTGCTTTCCGTTATCAGCAGCAGCCAACGTCATCAGATATCGCTTGTTTATTAGTTGCAAACTCTGGCTGCAGGTGCAAGAGAAGGTATTCGATGGTTGAGCCGTGTAACGTTGTTGGGCAAAAAACAATTGTAAAAGATGGGTAAAGCCTCGCTGGACGCCGAGTAGATATGGTCGGTCCAGAAGCGGAATTGCGGTGGGCGTACGAGCCAAGGCGGCGGCAAAGGAATCAGTAGTATGCGCCTGTCAGTACCCACAAGCTTGGAGGTTTAAATCGCACATTAGTTCACCAGTGGGGAAATGGTTCGGATGTACTTGTAGTACGGTGTCCTCCTAATTTATAGCAAATTAATATTTCGGGGAGAGGGATCATGTCAGTCAAGGCGGACCCAGTCAGTAATGGGTGTCATCTTAACTTAGTTTCCACGTAGGTAGATTGGGAGAAATCGACTTATCAAAGGAGAATGAAGGGCAAATGATGAATAACCGAACAATAACATAACGATGCTGCGTCGGAATCGCGCAAATTTAGGATTAACACATTCAGTCACTAATAATTCGGGAACGCGAAATCACCAGTGTATAGACTCCCCGTTCAAATGCAGTCCCCGGCGTCGGTGACGACTCCTCATCTCATGATGACAGATAAGACGATAAGGCTGACGAGAAGTTCTGTTGCGGTGGAGAGGTAACCACCCGGCATTCCGAAGTTTCCTGTAGAAGTCGGGCAGGGTCATAGACATCCAGCAAGTCAAACAAAACAACCAGAAACGAAACAAACGACACAAAACGGCTCCATTCGGTGAGAACTCGATGCTCACACTTTCGCGGTTGTGGTTGTTGACATCAGACATAAAAGCAGGATACAAAGTGAACAATGCCAAAAAATTAGAACGGCACGAGATCCAAACCCACTCATTCGACAGGCTATATTATATCCTAATTGCCGCTGTAGGTGGTATAAATTCTTAGCTTCCATTTTTCCTCTTGAGAAGGCTGGTCTTCAAGTGCTGATCACCGATCAGATTTAAATGCCCGACCATGTATCTTCTAGTCCTGATGTATTTTTGGGTGAATCTGACCCCCCCCCACTGTACTTTGTTAACAGACCTCTTGGAGGGACTGTTTTAATTGGCGGGTTAGAGACCTGCCTCTGGCTTTAACCACTGGAAGCTTATGTCCAGACAATAAATGACTAACTACATTGAGAAGGAAAAAGCGGCGCGGAGTTCCTGAAAGTCCTGACATTGACAGTTCGACTGCAAAGTGAGCTCTCAGCAATAAACTATCGCAAGTCCCGGTCTTTAAAGAGTAGCTGGATCAATCTCCCTTCAGATACGAAAGCCAAAGTTCTGTGCCTCTCGCTATATAGCCGCAACAGTCAACGGTGTTGTATGCTGGCCCCAAAATAGCACGGGGATCAAGAGGACAAAAAATGCAGAAACATCATTAAATAAATTCAGCATAAGCCATCAAGCAAAGGGAGCACCATCTGACAGACAAGACGAACAATGTAATTATCCAGGCTTTTTAATAAGTATGTTGAGTCACAGTAATAAAATCTGTACAAAGGTGAGAGGAGACCATGTGGTGTGAGGGTCTGAAACCAGTCTGCGGCTCAGCTACTCATCGGCTCGTCTCCGCTGCTCGCCTTATCTTCCTCGTCGTCGGATTCTTCAGAAGAGGTAGCACTTTCGGGGTTCTCCTGCTTCTCACGACAACATCGTGGACATTCACATAAAAAGAGGTAGTGTTCAGACAGCCACTTCTGACGTGAATGACGACCCCGAATTAGCGTGCACTCGTCGAGGTAGGAAATTGTCAGCTCGACGTTTGGCGGAATCTCCTGCTTGGCGACAATTTGCAGTTCGTTGGTACCACTTTCAAAGCGCACATATGTGTTGGGCTCACAGCTGTGGTTCAATAAGCCTACAAAGAGAGGATGGCCGGTATTTATGCACACCACCTGAACCCTAGTATCCTGCTGTTAATGCCTAACCAGTTGACTTGTGCATAACCTACCTTGAAGAATGACGGATGAAGATTCGTACATAACAACTAAAGTACAAACGTCGCAATTGCGTAAGGAACTATTTATGGCTTTTAAGTCCATTTACCACTGCAGGGGCGTCTTCTTGTCGTTCCGGGGGAAGGGCTATGAGTCTAACAGATGAAGACGGTAAACGTGCGATTAGATGGAAGTGTGACAAATAAACTATTTTGAGAGGACCACCAGAATATACGATGGAGCTTAGTTTGCAGCTGTCCCTAAATAAGACACGTCTATTAATTCAGAGCATGCTTGTCTTAGAATCAGAGAGCTCCCCGGTGCTCTTGTCATAATGTCTCACTCAATCAGCTAAAATAAGGAAGGTAGTGAATCGCTGTCAAATTGACTTAGCACTCTCAAGGCAACATTGGCAGCTCGGGCGATGCGCTCAAAACGTCGACGTTGGCTAAATCATTTCGAAGGCATGTTATTCCAAAAAAGGCATTACACACAGGAAAATTTGGCTGAACACTAGTGAATTATAAAAAAGAACCATAAAGATAGCCGGAGAAAGGGCATAACAGCAGTGGTAAAGTCTTGTGTCGAACGATTTTTATCGAAATACAGTAAACATACTTCAGACAATGACCTAACGGCCGACAGGCCGTTAAGGTAGGTCTGGGACTTAGTGCCTCCATGATAAAGAAGGCCTCGCGATTCGTCTTCGGATGTTTACCTATTTATGGTAAGACATAAAATAGTGGGGATTTTCGGTATCTTGGGTCGAACACTGCCAAGTGGATAAGGGTGAAACTGGGCAGCGCATTAATCATTAAGAACGTCTTCCTTCAATTTCTTTGGAACTTCCAGAGTCAGAGTAAACCAAGCCCACAATGTCGAGTTAAACGTAGAAAAGGCTTCCATTAAGGCAAGCCTCCCACATAGATATACGGCACGGTCTGTCACCTCCAGAGATTACCGTCGGCTGTCATCAAGTCGAAATCTGGCCGTCAGACGACCACTTGAAACCTAGTCAAGTCGTGGTACGGAGTCGCCGAAGTCAGTCATTATGGGCTTGAAAGGTAAAGGTGGAGCACAGCACATGAAACGAGTGCTGCTTGGGAGGCAAGCCTGTAAGTCAACGGGTATTCGGCCACGTAATCGCCCAAGCAAGGATAAGAAAAGAGGACCTTATTAAGCCCGACTAAATTCAGAGCTCGCCTGTTTTCCTGTCTCGAAATGTGAATTCGTGACAAAGGTGTGCGGTGGGTGACACCTCACATGATAGATAACTGGGCATCAGCCCGAGTCATTGGTTAAATTATCGTATGCATTTTCATACAGCTTCCTTTACGCGATTTTTTGTGAAAAATTTCCTAGAGTCGAAAATATACGTACTTTGGTGTTCGTACAGGCCAACACCTTCATTGTCGAGGAATTCGCCAGCTGACTGATCCAATTGGTCGTAAAGAGAGTCAAGAAAACTTCCGAACTTTTCGGCAGCTTCCCCGCCTTGAGCGATCGCTCTTGCCTCACAAGCTGTCCCCCACCGGCCAAGAGCAGTTGTTCCGATCCCTTGCCCGTTTCGACCTATGAGACACATTGCCGAACAAAATCCAGCCTCAGAGAGCATGGCCTGCAGTCCGGTCTCCTTGAGCGCCTCAGTGAAGGAAGGACCTTCATAACCGGCCCGTCGAGCCATTTCCTTCAGTGTCTCAAGAAAGCAGGCGTAAAGACGACTCAAACTGCCAGAGAAGTTAGGGCACAACAACTTGTGTACGAGTGTAGTCGATGTGTTTGGGAAAGTGGACAGAGAAGCTTCTGCAGCCAGCGAGGACACAAATCGTCCCAGAGCCTGCACAATGTGCCTTGCCTTAGGGTCCTTCTTGAAATGAGCTGAAAAATGTGCAGCAGCCATTCGCACCAGTAGCATCACCGTACCCGTTTCAGGCGGGCGTTGGGAATTGCGCCATTCTTCATCAAGACGGGTAAATACATTATCTGTTGGATCGGGACAAAGGGCAGGGCACAAGAAAGAATGGTATTCTGCAGATGATGAGGATCGACAGGCTTCGCAACAGTAGCCAACTGCACAGTTCGGACAAGAAACAATAGTCGCTAGAGGAGAGGAAAATGGAGCGTCCTCAAACCACGGCAAACAGAAATCAGGCTGATTTAAAAGGCGGCGGGCGTTCGCTTCCGCCGTCTCTAGCGGACGGAGGCAGTAGTCACAGGCCAAATATCCGAAGAAACGGTTCCAAGAAAACTGACAACATACTAGTGGACACTCGGAGAAAAGTACTTCATCTGGTGCAATGGTTCTAGTTGAAAATAACGCTCGACCTTTTGGGAGTCCTAAATCGACTATCCGAACTGAATCCATCTATTTTAGAAAAAAATGGAAAAGAAGAGTGGACGGGTAAGGGTTTATGCGGATTTCAGTTGCTAAAAAATTTATGAATAGACATCATAAGCTTCAGCTGTACTTTCCATATGGCGGCTACGATGACAAATGCGAGAATTCACTAACAGTGGCACTCTTTTCCTGCAACCTCAGAATCACATCGACACCAATGTATTGACTATAATGAACCTTGCAGACCAGCGAAACTGCCTCCCTTAACACAAAACAAGGCGTACACGTAGGTATACATCTCGGTTATAATGAAATCATAATACAAATCGAGCATAAAATAGTAACTAACGCCTTAACTTCGGCTCGCAAACCTCGGGTTGGACAGATGACCGAGCTAGTAGTGAAGCCTAAATTGGGTTTATTTATCAAACAGAAATGAATGCTAGACTGGATTTCGACCAAAATGGTTAAAGCGTACACTGTTAGCAGCGTACCAGCACTCACATATACAGTGCGTAGAAGCGGTGCCTAAACTTAAAGAATACCAGCTTGGAGGCAAACAGTCTCACAAGGGCCAAGTCGTAAAAAGCATTTTCAACTATGTTCTAACGATTGGAAAAACGGAATCCTCCTAAGGCCTCGTTTGACACTAAGACTAAGTTGAATTATATGATATGCAGTCTGTACAACTTTTAAAACTGCCTTTATTTATGGCGTGCAGTGTAATTCTGGGATATGATTGTTCTTCCTCATAATTCACAAAACAAATTGCCGGTGGCATTTTTTGGTAACCGGTCAACATTTGCTGAGGATTTCAAAATTGAGATCGGATACGATACGCGCTTTGGCACAGGAATGATAGATCTGAGGTGGCATACTAAGAGATCAATTAGGTCCTAAGGTGAGTGAAAATTCGACTGTCTCACCAGATAAATCTGTCCATACAAACGCATCACACAGTTATGAATGGTAACTCTCACTAAGCCTGCCCTACGGGCTAGAGATTATGACGTTGCCAATCGCAAGATGACCTCAACGGCGGCTCCAGGAACAAATGGACGAAACGATCATATTTGGCGAAAAACTTTGATCAGCATGACCTTGAGTACTGATTGCCGGTTGAATACGCATATTGCGCTTCTTATATTAAGGCACCGACAGCAGTGCGGTCAAACCAAGATCTTTTACTAGGTCTATAATCCTCTGATAAATAATCAAAATTTTAAGGCCCTTTATCAGAAACGATAACGTGCAGCTCGGTTGAATGGTGTGTAGTTAGAAGAATATACGATAGAGACACAGCCAATTATGGATTCACAGTGGCATGCATGCATATTTTAAAAAACATGTGCACTCGCGCGCTACAGGCCAGAACTCCCAGTGCGCCCCCGACTCTTGGCGCTCGCCGCTGTCCTATTCGATTTAGACTAGTGTATGGAGCCTTAGAGGACTCCTCAGAACTCCAAAATTGGAATAGTTATTCGTCTTCACTGACTAGGGCAACTTGGGCAGAAAGCGTTTGATTTTGCTTCTCCGTGTTGTTCCGTGCGTGCAAAACTGATCTAAATCATTGAACACACTCGAGCGTTTCATGTAAGAACTTCTGCAAAAGCGCGTGTTACTGGTTTACCTGGAGTCCATAAAGGCACAAAACGTCGGAGCAAAACCCAAGTTTACATAACATAATAACTAGGACTTCTCCGAAACAGTGAAATCCATGGACAGAAAGTCAAATACTTCTTCAGTCCGCACATAGCGGACAGTGAATTCAGGGCTAATAATATATTATTCTTAAGTATGACACGACGGATGACCTTAACCGTAGCTTAGATCCCAAGATCTTTATTTAAGCATATGATAAACAGTAAAAGGAAGCTTGCGCTGACTTCAACCGCATTATATAAAAGTCGGAGCATCCCAGCCTCGCGACGACGATCTGCAACGCAACAAGACTTTTCTTTATACTTGTATGTAATGCCTTTTCTTTGTTCTAGTAAGACAGTCTGAAATATCCTGGCCGGCCTGAACGACGACTGGATGGATGACGTTCAGGCACTGAAAAGAACTGGGTCGAGGCGAACTGGCGCTGGGCACTTAAGCAGCTGCGTTGCCACGTGCCACATCTAGCGCTTTCTGTAGTTATGTTTACTGCTTATGCATGAATGGCAACTACAAGTCGGAGTCTCAAACACCAAGAATAAATCGTTTGAGAACCTCTGCTCCAGGATTGGAAACAGGAGGCTGAAATTAAGGAGGATGACTGTTCTGGTAGTCTTTGGAAATCATAATCCCACCGGTAACACCAACATGCGGTGTATGCGACTTCTTTCATCCAGATGATGACGTTCCACCCTACGTCATCTGCGCTCAAAACTGTCTCTGCAGCGTTCCTCCAAAAACTCCAGCTCATACTTGGTCTCGCTTTTGGAGGATTCGACCACGCGGTAATTAATGGACACGGGAGTCTCGTTGAACGTCCCGTCAGCGACCTTTTACAAACCCCCGGTGATTTGTCCGACCACAGGGAGATACCTGCACTTGTGCTCGAAGACTTCTGAAACTAACGACAGTTGACGACAGAGTCGGCCAACGTTTACGTCGGGAGTTTGCGCGAGCTAGCGCTAAATACCTTCCCCAATGGATGCTCCACGATTTATTCTTTGTGTTCCAAACTCCGATTTGTATTCGCAATTCATATATAGGCAGTTCACAGCTACAGAAAGCACTTGAAGTGGCACACGGCTGGACAACTGCTAATGTGGCCAAACGTCCGCTCACCTCGACCCATCTCTTTTCAGTGTCTGAACGTCTTCTGTTCAGTTCTCGTTCAGGCCGACCAGGATATTTCTGACTGCCTTATTAGAAAGAAGGAAAGTAACTATGTAAAATTATCAGAGGCTGCGTTAAAGACCCTACACTCGCATTGCGCACCATAAAATGTCCACATTTAAACGTCAAGTAGGCGTTTCGGGGAGTCAGCTGCCTATTCAGTGGCCAAACAGCAGGGCTTGCCGGAAAATTTTGAACGTACATATACTTTTTTCTTATTCTGGCGTAAGCTACACGAACACGAGATCTAACTAGGCATTGAAGTGCTCCGCAAAATCTGGGGAGGGTTGGACGCACTGGAGTCAGCAACCAAATAAAAGGCACAGTCTTAAAACCGCGTACTTAAAACACTCCTTACATAAAAAAAAGAATAAAATAAAGATGATGAGGTGGAAAAGATGAGGCTGGACAGTAGATAAAGTTATATAACATGCAAACATTCATGAAAGTTATCTTTAAACGGTAACGATAACATTGCTCTGTGCAAAATAGACGGATAGTATGTCCCACAGCCAAGGAAACTGATAATGTAAAAGCGTCCATGTGATGTCCTCATTCTATAAGGTAGTCTGTGATCGTAAGGCGTGCGTGGAACGTGAAAATGGTGACTCCAATCCCTAAGTCTTAAGTTGCTATGTACTGATTCGCAGATAATCGACCAAGATTACGTTTAACTCAACTGTACAACCTCAATGGAGAAATGTTAGAAATAAGTCTTCCTCTTTTAGGCTCAAATGCTTTGTTATGGTGTTTGACGAAGATCGTTACCCCCAACTAAGCATTGATGATCACGAAATAAATATTTCTGGAGTTTATTAAGGATCTGGGTCGTGCAGGTTCTCAGTATCGTCAGAAATTAATCGCTTACTCGGAGTAGATCAGTCTTTTCAATACATATGGGTTCAGATTAAAAGCAAATAGGAATATTTAGACCGAATTCCGCCAAGCACAATGGAACAACAACGTAACATTCGTAACTTGCCAGCCTATAGACAGCAAAATTGTCGCAGCCGGAGGTCCGGCCGGACGCCCGACCTTGGTTGTTTTAAAAGGCATTTAGGTTAGGTTGACTTTCCCGTCTTCAGAACCCGTGTCTTCGAAGTCACGTACGGACTATCGACCCACAGTTGGCCATTGATAAGTCGCACCTGACTTTTTCCTGGTCTACTGCAACCTCTTTTAGCATTTGTATTCCACTTACCCATTTACTCTTCAACCACGCATAACAAGAATAATTTTATTTAATGCCAGTTTGCATGCATTGTCAAGGAAGAATTAAACACAAAGACGGCCAGCAGTGGAAGCATATTTGCATGGCAACTGCGCCGCTTCTTCTACATCACTAGCAATAACTCAGCAGCAAGGCGGAGTCAGGACGATTTTTGGCGGACTCGCGCGCAGTAGTTGACAAAGCAGCCTGTCTGTGTGTCTCACATATGATCGTGATATCACACAATATTCGAGGTTTGCACATGAAGGGATATACAGGTGGCTTGTTGCCTCAACAGCCGACCTTCTTCCACCTGCGCCATTTAACGAGTGGTGTCGAATGCACTGTGTGTTTCTGGCGCTCCCTATTGGCGCACTTTCAACAATCGACGAGAATATGGGTGGTTCAGTTCGAAATGACGACTCTTTTCGTGCAGATTGCACCACTGGAGTCAACCTCACCTCACTATTCCACTCACTCTCTCCTTCACCCGCCAGTTTGGTTTCATCAGTTGCTTTTGGTT